CTCTGGAAACCTGCCGGTGGTGCCCCCCCAGCCCCTCTGTGGCTCGCTCGGGGTGGTGTCACACTGTGGGGTTCCTTTTTTATCCTCCCAAGGGGAAGCGTGGGGTGTGCTGGGCTTGAGACACCCCCATTCTCTCCCATTCTCCCCCAAGTGGTGCCCGGGGCCGTGGCACAGTGAGGAGCAGTGGGCACCAGCTGGAGAGGAGCTGGGAAGCCTGGGATCGCATCCATAACAAAGCTCCCCGGGCCTGCAGCGGAAGGGGAAGAGGCTCCTCTCCCTCCTCTTCCTTTCTCCTGCGTGGGGATTTTTCAGCCAGGTAAACACCGGATGTTGATGAAACGGGCTCGGCAGATTGGGCAACCCTGGAGGCAGCTGGAGCTCCAGGCAGCTCCCAGCATCCGACACACAGGCATCTGCACAGGGAAAAGATGATGCCAGAGCTGGCTGCACCCTCCTCTGCCGGCTGCACTCTCCTCTGCCTGTCCCCAGGGCCATAAAACTCCCCTGTGCAGAAAGAGAGGGTGGAATGGGCTGGTAGTCAAATCCGGGGCAGGGTGGGCTCCCTCCCACTCACTGCTGTGCACCCTCGGGGGAACCACTGCACCTCCTTGGCCCTTGGGACCTCCTTGCAAGTTGGGCTGGTGCTCACAGCACCCAGCACCTTGTTCTGGGCTGCAGGCTGTGACACCCAACCCATGGCAACCACCTGGCACCTCCTGGGTCCTCCTGAACCTGCAGGGCCCAGGGGTGGGGCTACAGACCCCCCAGGATCCTACTCTGCCAGGCATCATCTCAGCACCCGCTGGCACTGCAGGGACAGGTTCTTCCCTGCTCCAGTACAGGGTGTGCTGTAAAAATACAGCTACTTGACAAGGCACGAGAGGGAAGATCCAAGGGGGAACAAAAAAGCCCAACTTGTTTTGATGTTTCCTGGATGTCTCAGGCTGGCTGTTACTCAGCTGTTGGCTCCTGGACTGAGCCTTGCAGGGCTCTGCAGAACAGCCTCATGGCTGGCAGCTGGGCACCACTGGGGTTCCTGACTTCTTCTGGAAGCTCTGGTGAGCATGGGACGGGGCAGATTTGGGGCAGGAAGAAGGGTTTTCCCAGGGGATGAAGCAGCTGAAGACCAGGAGGAGACAGGCATCTCCAGTTTTGCAGCACCAGGATTCTCATGGCCCCTTCGAGGGGTTCCCTGGAGGCAGCAGGATGATGCCACCCCGATACCAAGCACCACACTGGGCTCTGCTCCCCTCCTGGGATCGGGGCACCCCGTTCTGCCCTGTGGCTGTGAGTTGGGATGGAGCACCCAGGAATGGGGCGGCAGACTGTCCTGGTGTCCAGCCCAGCTTGCTCCTCGGGCTGCTGTCACCCCTGCAGTGACCACGTGCACTCAAGCCAGGGACAACGAGACACGAGTGGGCCACGAGTGAACAGAAGGGACCTGGGCCCTGGGCAGGGAAGTCGGCCAGAGCAGCAGGAAGGAGCAAGGGCAGAGGGGACGAGGAGCAGGATGTGATGCTGGAGGTGGCTGGACCGGCATTCCAAAGGGGCTGCCGGCTCCCTTAGGACATGAGAGGAGCAGCATGTGTCCCTGTCCCCAGTGTCCCCCTGGATACTGCTGCCATCTGCTGGCAGGACCCAATCCTGCTCGGGTCCTGAGCCTGGCCACTATGCCGAGGCCTGGGGACCCCTCTGTGACCCCCCCTGACCCCGGGCACAGGGTGGCACCATGCACGGCTCCAGGCTGGACACCCCAAGATGCTCTTGAAGCCTCCCTGCTGTGAGCCCAAGGAAGCCAGGCCCCAAAACTGCTCACAGCGTCCACTCCAGGCACAGCAGGTTGTCACCTTGGCTAACCTGCTCTCTGGGCTGCAGATTTCCCTCCCACCAACCCCCTCCCAGTGCTCTGACACCTCCGGTCCCAGCTCACCCCCCACCACAGCCTGACTGTGTGTCCTTTGCCAGCAACTCCCCCTGCACGTGGGCTTAGGACCATCCCAGTTGTGCTGGTGGATGCAGGGACATGATCAGACCCTTGGCCATCAGAAGGTTAGAGCAGGGGCTCTGCTGAGGCTGGTTTCTCCCAGGAGTGTTCAGCTCCTCTCCTTGCCAAGGCTGCTGAGCTGCAGAGGAAACTCACCCCAGAGAATCATCTTCCCTCTGCTGTCGTGTCCCCTGGGTCTCGCCAGGCCATGGAGATTTGCTGACTCCCATCCTGTTCATGGCAGGCATGCACATACCAAGCCTCTTCCCACGCTTGCCTGCCCTTCCCAGCATTCCCAGCATCTCCACTTCCCCTGGGACCAGAGCCCTGCTGGAGTTAACCATTGGAGACCAGGGCCGTGGCAGCTGTGGGGACACTCAGGGCCACCCCACACATCCCTCTCTGCTTCCCACAGGCACCAAGACCCTGAAAGTGGCCTGGGTGGGGTGTTTGTTACATGACGTTTGCTTTTTGGCTGCACTTGGGAGGCAGTGCTGAGGTTTGGAGGAGGCAAATCCCTGAGCTGGTGTCCCCACAGAGCCTTGCAAGCTCCTTGGCTCATCCCTCCCTGGGCAGATGGCAGCAGCATCCTGCTCCTCACTGGAAAATGCCCAAGTCCACGGGCAGGGATTGAGCTGCAGCTGTCCCTGGTTTAATTCCTCCTGGTTTAATTCCAAAGCAAATCCAGCATCTGGTGGATTTTCTGTGTTTCATGCCCTGGCCCAAACACAACAGGAAGGCTGCCTGGTGCCTGAGACATTCCCATGGGGAATGATGACCTGTGTGCAAGCCCTGTGGACTCAGTGTCTGACATCCCTGACAGTCTCAAGAAGTTGTTTTAGTTTAAGAAGGTGGGTTTTTCCCTAGCCCCACCAAAGCAAGCTGGGAAAAACCAACCCCCATAGAGCCACAACCCAGAAAGACAGAAACAAGTATGTTGAGCCCTCCCTGTTCAGAGCTGGGACCTGGCACGTGGGTTTCAGTCTGATCTCTGAGGAAAGCAGGTATGTGCCTCCACCCTGCTCCCTGTGCCTCTGCCGTTCCCATCCACCAGGATTTCCTTTGGCTGAAACAACTCTTCCCACAGAGCCAGCTCTCAAAGGCCTCACCACAGCTCAGCCCTTAGGAGACATCAGAGCATCCCCAACCCACTCTCCACGCTCTCCAGACACACTTCACCCACATCCCCAACCCCTGTGCCCAGCCCATCACCACCCAGTTCCCTTCCAAAACCTGCCAGCCGAGCACCGCTGCCCAAGGCATCCCCACGGAGGGGGAAAACGTCTGGGTCCTTTCCCAGAGGGAACTCCAGGGCTCCCCTGGCTCCCCGCACATCTGGGCAGCTGTGCTCCCCGCACATCTGGGCAGCTGTGCCCGCCGCAGCCCCTGCGCGGCGCTCCCCGCTTGCCCCCGGCAGCGCTGACATCAGCTCGGTTTCCTGCCGCCGGCCCCGCCGCCCCCGGAGCCTCCCGGACCCCTGGGGGGGCAGCACCAGGCACGGAGACCCCCCCAGGATCCTTCGTCACCACCAGCCCCCCGGTGACAGCCGGGGACATGGAGTCGGTGGCTCTCTACAGCTTCCAGGCGACGGAGAAGGACGAGCTGCCCTTTCAGAAAGGGGATGTCCTGAAGGTATGGAAGGCGGGGGGGGGTCACCAGCCATGGGGGGGTCACCAGCCATGGGGGGGGACCCGCCAGGGGG